CGACCCTATGTAGTTTTCTGGGTGTGCAAGCATGGACGAGACATTTCTGCTCTTTCTTTACCCAAGACAGCTTTTTAGATACTGCTAAGTAGCAATTCTGTCCCTGTGTGGTGTTTTCCTTACCACGCTGTATGTTCTCCATTTTTTTACTAGTTCCTTATACCTGCCTATTTCTTATACCTGCCTAGCCACCCACCCATCCATCCACCCATGCAGCCACTCCGCCATACATCCACCCACAAGCCAGTCCACCCACCCAGCCAGCCACTCAGCTACCCACCTGTCTACCCACCCACTCAGCCATACTCCCACCTACCACCCACCCACCCATTCACCCTCCTACTGGCCCACCCACCCGTCCATCCATCCACCCAGCCAGCCAGTCACCCCCCACCCACACATCCACCCACCCACTGATCCGTCCATCCATCCACCTACCTACCCATCTGCTCACCCATCTACCCACTTACTCATCAAAAAATCCATCCATCCATCCATCCATCCATCCATCCAACCACCCACCCACCCACCCACCTACCCACCCACCCATCCATGGACCCACCCAGCCACCCATTCACCGTCTAGCGGGACAGTCATGACTGGCTCTGGAGATGCTTAGTGTTCTGTGCTGTTCACACTTTGTAGGATGGCAAGTAGTGTCCCCACTTCTGAATGGCAGCAGGTCCCCTCACCCTTACCGTTCTGACCTCCACATGCTCCACAGACTTCTCGGAGCACTTAGAAGGACAGTACCAACCACCCTTGGGGACCTCTTCTCTAGGGGTATTTATCTGTAGAAAAGATAGATGTTGGTGGAACTATCCTCTCTGCATAAACAGTGTTTTTCTCCTACTGCAAAAGTCGTACATGTTAATAGTGAAAATTTGTTTTTCTATTTATTCTCTGCCCTTGTGTAAAAAGTAAAGAGCGGGGATAATTACCACCCTCCCCCTCTTTCCCGGGGGCACCCAGTCCTGTCTCTGGTTTCTTTCTGAGCAGTGTTCTCTGCACGAGTGTGTGTACAACATGCAAATGTGGAGTTTCTGATAGACATGGCGTTGTTGATAAAGACAGGATTATGTTACATATTGCTTTTTAAACAATGGTGTGGCATGGCAGCCTTTTCAAAGAATTCATTTAAATCATCTCCTAAAGCCTTTTTATGACATGAGAAGGTGAAGGAGATGTTCTAGAGTAGACGTCTGTCTTACATCTTGGGCCTTTGTACGCCGGCGTGGTCCACGTGCGGCTGCCCATCTGCCTCGGGCTGGCCCGTGCCTTGTCTGTGTCCCCAGGTGCCACCTGGGTGAGCTGTGGCCGTGTCGACCTCCCTGCTGCCCGAAGCTCGGGGGTCAGAGCTCAACCCTTCTCAGCCCGGGGCCCGCAGGCTGCAGGGCTCAGCCCCGCAGGGTGGTGTGCGGACAGCGTGGGGAGGAGGCCCGGTGCGGCGCGCCTGCCGTGCTGCACGTGCTGGCGGGGGTGTTCGTGCTCACGGAACAAAGTAGGACACGGCGTCTGGTCCACTTTCAAATGAAACAGGCTGGCCTAAATTTCATGAAACACAGCCCTGTGTTGGGCACAACTGTTGCCGCAGTACCCTTGGCCTTTCCTGTCCTTCCGGGGCCTGTGGCCCCACCTGGCTGGGAGAAGGCCGTGGCGGGCGTGTGCGGGGCCAGCCCGGGGGTGCCCTGTGTGGCACCCGCCTCCCGTGGCAACCGGCGCCTCCAGCAGCTTGTGGACTGTGTGTTGTGGGTCAGAATTAGCCAAACACAAATCCCTGTGGCCCAGAGGGGTGGGCCCCTGAGAGCCCCCTGGCCAGGCATCATTCGGAGGACCCCCCCATGTGACAGGCATCTGAGGCCCCCCCTTCCTTTTGTCAGGCGAGTTCTGCGTGTTCTCTTTTGTCCTGCAGATTCACGATTTTCCCCTTTGAAATGTTTCTTCTTTTGAAGCCTGGGGTTGCCTAGAATCCCTCCACTCCCCTGGTTTCCTCTGGGGGAGCTCAGTGGGCAGTGTGCCGCCTCTCTCCCGTCACTCACCATGGCACACGCTTGAGGGGCCAAGTCCTACGCAGCACATGCTCCGTGGCTGCTGGGTCCCAGGGCTTCCTGGTGGCTCCCGGTTCAGGCTCCCTCCCCACCTGGTGCCCCTTCTTGCCCCAGGATGTGGAGGCAGCATGCTCTGGGTGGGGGGCATGTACCTTTGGGTTAAAACTGTCACAGCCATTGGCCATTTTGGGGTTTTGACTCAGAACCTATGGCTGCCCCCCAGGGGTGCGTCCCCCAGGCTCATGGCAGATGGTAAGGTAGGTTAGCACCCCACCGACCCCACCTGTGCTACATGTGCTGGTTTTGCTCGGTTTGGTCTGGGCTGTGCCCCTAGACCCACTGGTGCCAGTCTCCTGGGGACCTCCAGGGGCCAGCTGTGCCAGCCACAGGGGTTTCTGGACTCGGCTCTGAATCCCGACCCCGGTGCGGGGCTTCCGAAATGTTCTGTGCCGCCCGCCCTCTGTGCCTTCTCCATGTGAGCGGGTGCCTTCCCTGGGAGGGTGGTCACATAACTCATTGCGACACTAAGGGTCCTTCCCTTTCTCTTGGCCTTTGGAAGACAGGTCAGCCCAGGGCTTCTCTGGGTTAAATCCGTTACTCATTAAGGTGACAAGTAACAAACGGCCCATTGTGGGAAGTGACACGTAATGGAGGCTCCCAATGACCTGGCCTGGGATAGAGCGGCAAGCCAGCCGAGCAGACCGAGAAGGAGCTCTGAGGCTCGTGCCGCCTCAGGCCGCTGCCTGCGCCCTGCGCCTCTGCGCTGGGGGCCCCGCTGCCCGGGGGAGGGGGCTTGAGGCCAGGAGGCTTTGTTTCCCTGCTGTGACAGCTGACCAGCTGAGGAGACATCTCGGTGCTTTGATGGCCCTTGAAAGAGAGACGATGTTGATGGCAGACGTCCCGGGAGGAGCCCCCTGATGACGGTCACTGAGCCGGCTCCCCGAGGCTGCAGGACATCAGATCCGCTCGAGTGTGCTGCGACGTTGAACTGACTCCACCGAAGCCAGGAGGCTACTTAAGACTCGTGGCGCCTGCGAGCTTGATCTTCCAGCAGGACCATGTCGTGTCGGGGGGACCTCGTGTGCTTGGCGAGGAGCCCTGGGAGACCCAGTTTCCTCCTCTCTAAACGGGTGGAGTTGCTGGCCTGGACCCATGCGTCCTCGTGGGCGTGAACCCGGCAGGGATGCATGTCCAGGGCGCACCTGCCTGTGGAGGCTCAGTGGCCCACACGGAGGGTCTGGCCAGGCTTTGGCACCCAGACCCCTGGCCCGTTTTTACCGTCGTGCGTTCTGCTGTGAGCAGGGAGTGGGTGGAGGGCGGTTCCCCGAGTCCCTGGCAGCCCCGCAGTGTGGCCAGGCGAGGCCATGGCAGGCTCACCCTGAGGACCCCGCTGCTCCAGGTCTCATGCGGCACCAGCCCCATGTACCTCCAGGAGCGAGCACAGCGCCATCCTGCCGTGGGGGGTCACGGACGGGCCAAGCTGCTGTTTGTCTGTGCCCCGTTTCCAAGGGTGCCGTGCTGGTGATAACCGACGGGTGACGGGGGTTAATGAGCTGGTCCGACGAACAGCGGAGAGGAAGCCTGGCGTCTGATAGCCGCTCAACAGGCGCTGGCAGTTCCTACTCTTAAATGATCGTCCTTTCTGCCCACTTAGGGCTTTCTAAATACGTTCTCGGTGGAATCATTTATTTTCTTAAAGAAGATTTGCCTTGTGAAGATGCCATGCATGTTGGCCAAATAAAAAATAAATAAAAAAATAGAATACATAATTTTTAAAACATTTATGAGTGTTATGCTGGAGAATAGCAGTTTTTATAAGGATCTGAAATTAGTCCTTTCAATCTTCTGATAAGCCAATTCAATCTGGCATCTGTTTGCATTTTAAAACTTTTTTTTAAATGTTTATTTTTGAGAGAGACAGAAAGAGAGTGAGTGAGTGCTGGAGCCTGTGAGCGAGGGAGGGGCGGACGGGGCCGACAGAGGGTCCAAAGTGGTCTATGTGCTGACAGCAGAGAGCCTGACGCGGGGCTCAAACCCACGAAATGGGAGATCGCGACCTGAGCCGACGTCAGACGGCTCAGTGTCTCCCCACTGAGACACCCAGGCGCCCTGCAGTTTACAACTTTTAGGTTTTCTCACTGAGTTTTTTACATTTGAAGAATGAAGTTGCCCGATCACTGTTACCTATTCCTGCCTATACCTGTTCCCATACCTGTTCCCATACCTGTTTCTGCTGTAGCAGAGCCCCCTCCCCCTGCCAGCGTGGTTTTGGAAACTCTAACCTTGGAGACTAGTTTTTAGAGAAATTATTATCTAATGAGTATGTGACTGTATTAGAAGCAGAATTTTAAACACCTTAATGAAAAACCTTTCAGATCTGTGTCAAGAATAAGGAATATATTGGGGCGCCTGGGTGGCTTAGTCGGTTAAGCGTCTGACTTTCGCTTGGGTCATGATCTCGCGGTTCGTGGGTTCGAGCCCCGCGTCGGGCTCTGTGCTGACTGCCAGCTCAGAGCCTGGAGCCTGTTTCAGAGTCTGTATCTCCCTCTCTCTCTCTGGCCCTCCCCTGCTCACGCTGTCTCTCTCTTTCCTAGAAATAAAAATTTAAAAAAAAAAAAAAAAAAAAAAAAAAAAAGAATAAGGAATATATTTTAGGTCCTCTCTGATTAGGGTACAAAATGCTTGAGAAGCAATAATTTACAACGTATTAATTATGTTAATTAATTGGAGAAGACTCAGAATATTAATTATCTGCAACTAATTAGGTATTAAAAGTGAGAACCATTCAGTGATGAGGGGCAAGACTCGGAGCCACCCAGGCAGAGTGAGCAAAGGGCCTCGTGCACCCTTGTCGCAGCCTGCAGGTCTCCGACCGGCCCCGCCCCCGCCCCGCCCCGCGGTGTGTGTCCCGTGGGTTAACGGCTCGCTGTCTTTCCCATGCTTCCCCCGCAGAGGAGGACGTGGACGCCGCCGATGTCTCCCGCGTGCCCGCCGGCGTGCTGCGTGACGTGGAGGCCGACACGTACTGGTGCATGAGCAGGCTGCTGGACGGTATTCAGGTGAGCCCCCGCCGGCCCGGCACGGCCGCCCCGGCCCTGAGACCAGGGTCACGAGCAGCCCTGCCCCCTGCCCCCGTGCCCAGCGTGGCCGCCGCTACCCTCCGCAGCCTCCCTTTCTGCAGCCGGGCTCGCGCCCCCTCCGCAGGGCTGACTGGCCGTGGGAGAGCCCGTGCGCTCGCGCCCGCCTCTGGGGACGGTTCCGGCGGCAGGGTGCGGTGCAGGGCTCCTGGCGGCCGGCTCTCCCCTCCCCCGCGGAGTCCGGTCCCCGCACACGCCCAGCTCTCCTGCTCTGCTGCCTGTGACGCCCAGGGGTGCCAGCACCAAATGTAGGCTGTCGTCGGATAAGCCATTTCCCTGTCCTTGGTGGTGAACTGGATTCGGGGCCACCTACCCCTCACGGGGCGTCCAGTTCAGGGCCTCAGCCTCTCTTCTGTCACCCTGGGCCTAGGGGCAGCTGTCCGCACGGCGCCTGCTGGCCCTGGCGGGGGGTCTCACTGTCCCCGGAACCACAGCGGGGCCTGGTCCCCAGGGAGGCGCAGGCTGCTGGAAGCCTCCCCTCCCCCCGACCCCCCATGGTTGGGTGGTTGGGGGTCTGCGGACTTGGTGTCTGTTAGGACCGATGGTTGGGGTTTTCGCAGAAAGGCTGCAGGTCTCCTAGTGCCGGGGGTGGTTTTAGGAAAGGGGTTTGGGGAGAGCCCCCCGTAAAGCGGGGATGAGGACTGGGGCCTCTCGGTGTGGCAGGAAGCGGCGAGGAGATGGGGGCCCTCCCGCGGGCTGCGGGCCGTCTCAGGTGCGTTCTGTGCCCGCACCCCTTTCCTGGATGCATGCTTTGTGCTGGTGCCGCCCGCCGCCCTGGGAGGGACACGGGTGTCGGGCTAGGCCTCCCGGGAGCTCAGTGTGGGGCACAGGGTCAACCCAAGGCGGTGTCGTGAGGACATTGAGACATGTGCTCCTGAGGACCCGATTTGGGAGCTGAGTGGGACCTGGAGGGGTGACGGTGGGTGGGGAGCCCACGGCAGCGTGTGGAGGTTTCCTGAGGGACCTCGTGGGATGGCTGCGCCCCGGGTGGAGGCCGTGCTGGTGCCTGTGCGCTGTGCCGGGACCCCTTTCGTCACAGGTGAGTAGGGGCACTTCCGCCCGAAGAGAGAGAAGCTCGTGGGGTGCACGCGTCCGGCTGGGCTTTCCTGAGCCGTTGCCCTGGCGCTGTGCCCGACGCCCGTGCCGCTGGAGGCCGCAGCTCGCCTGCTGCCCGAGAAGCGGTTCGAGTGAGGCTCCGACGCGAGGCAGCCTCGAGTGCCGGGCCCGAGGCTTAGTGTGAATGAATTAGCCGGAAGGATGGTGCCGGGGAGCACAGCGTGGGTTTGTGTGACTTTTGGGAACCCCGAAGGGACAGAGCAGGCGGGAGGCCCTGCCGTCATGGAAGGACCCTTGTTTGCGTCTGCAGAGGAGATGTGCCTGCCGTGTCTGGGCCCCCGCGTCGGTCGTCATTTCCCTGCGTCGATCCATGTTTTCATGTTTTCGTCTTTCTCCCAAAACTTAAGACATTTTTTCCCCTTTCGAAAACGGATTGAATCGCAATGTGAGAATTTATAAATTTCAAATGTCACTTTTCTGATCATGAGTGATGGAATTTCTGCCATTTAAATATAAGATTATCCTGCTTCTGTTTGTAAATAAAGTCAGCTCTACGCTGGAAGTGACACTGGCTTTTCATTTGTCACCTGAGGCTTGTTGTCTGATAAAGTGGCTTCTCAACAAGGGTGGCGTGTGGCGTGTGGCGTGTGCGTTCCCCACGCTCTGCAGGCTGACGGGAGCCACGCGGCCCTCCCGTGGGCAGCGTTGAGGGGCCCCAGTTACCAGCGTCAGCGGGTGTGGGGAGGTGGGTCCTTCCCTGAGATGGGCCTGCTCGGCAAGGGGACTGTTTGGTGTGTGCGGTGCCACTGCCGTCTCGTTCGTGTGAGTGTGAGGGTCTGGGCTGACGGAGAAGCAGGAGGAAGGATGGACTGGGGCGGCAGCGCCCTGAGGGGCTGGAAGCTTCTGTTGCTGCATGGCCCCCGGCACCACTGGCTTCCGCCTTCCCGCTCCCTCTTCTTACTGCTGGACCCGCCCCGTGCTCGCCAGTCATTTGAGCACACGGGCCCGTCCTCCTCCAGCATCTCACCTTCTCATCGCACCCCTGCCTCGTTGCCGCCGTAGAGAATGCTGCGTGGCTTTGTTCAGTGCGGGCTCTCAGCCTGCTTCCCTGCATTTGAGGAAATTGTGCTAAATCCACGTGCCAGAGAGGCTGCAGGGACGCAGAGTCGCTGGGCCAAGTTGGTGCAGCGGCTCCCTCACCCGTGAGTGGGCATCCGCGGTCGGTGGGCAGTCACAGCAGGGCAGGGCTGAGGCCGTGACAGCCCAGCGTGCACTTGGTGGTCTCGGCCTCCCGGCAGGGCAGGGCAGATGTCACAGCCCCACACGCAGAGAGACCCCTTCCCGGGGATCACGGGCCATGTGTTGGGACCCACATCGGAGCCCCGAAGCCTGAGGTTTTCTACTCTGCTTTATGACCGCGTCCAGCCAGCATCCATGGAAATGACTGCTTTTTTGCTGGATAAGTTCTAGAAGGCAAAAACCACATTGGCTCCTTTTTCTGGAGAGGTAGCTGTGGTTTTGGCTTCCCTTGGGACTGCAGTCTGAGACTCTGTGCCCTGTGTTTGGCCAGAGCATGGTGAGCACTCGCCGTGTACAGGTCCTCACTTGGTCGCCAACCTGCTATCCCTGGGGGTGTGCATCCTGGTGGCCAGGGGTGTGGCGAGAGGGCGTTGCCGATGGAGGACAGAGTTCTGGGGGGGGCGGGGCTCTGGCCCCAGGAGGACGGCAGGCCAGGATGGGGGAGATGCTGCATGCTCCCAGCATATGCCTGGAGGCACCGGGTGATGTTGAGCCAAAATTGTCTGAAATGCAGAGGCTAGCTGGACTCCTTGGTGAGGGGAGCCCTCCAGAAACGAGGAGCAGTGACCTCGCTAGTGGGCGCTAGTAAGCTTGAATGGACTTGTCAGATGCAGTAGCACGTAAACGTTTAGGTGTTATGTCCCGGCATGGTGTGCACATCAGGTAGGCCTGCTCCTATGGGGAGATCACGGTGCTGCCCACAATCCAAAGTGACACGGTCCCTGTCCAGGCTCTCTGGCTGCATGTCTGCGTCTTAGAGAGTCCGGAGTTGCTCAAAGAACTCTTACCCCTATGGGTTAATTCTCACTGTCCTTACTGTGTTAGAAACCCAAATGGCAATAATTTGAAAATATTTAGTAAAGTATCCTAAAATAACAATGATGAAGGAATTACATGCTATTGTAAGTAACATTTCTCTGTGATGAGCTAGTATTTCCCACAGCACAGCTGTTTCGTGAGAAGGGGGCACCGTGTTCCTTTGTGGTAAGGGTCTCACATCACAGGAGACTGAAGACCGCTGAATTCGCACCTGCGCTGCTAGGTTCAGTCTGTTGTGATGGGCTGCTTCCGGTGGGACTGTGCGGAAACAGCCCAGCCTCACGCAGGCGGGTCGTTGGAGGAGGGAGGAGAATCTTCAAAGTCCTTTCCAGTGATCGTGGATGTTTTCACTTGCCAGGCGGCAGCTTCCTAGGGTTACTGCCATGTGACATTGAAGCCACATTGGTACCCGTTACGTTAAAACCCATTGGCCTGTCTTGCACTCCGAGAGGATGTTTTGCTCACGCGTGGCTCCGTGACATCAGACATTGGCCATTTGGGAAGCTGGGGTGTCTGGAGTGTGCGCATCTGGATGCTGACGTCCTTTGTTATATGGCATTAAAACTCCCACTATTGCTGTTTACCCTCTTCTTATGAGAAGAGCCTGTTGAGCCCAGAGGAGCAGATAAAAGTTCTTCAAAATTCCGATTTTGGCTTAAAAGCTCACATATTATTATCAGTGACACATATTGTAGATTGTTTTCATTGAAGTGACAAGTCTTTGTTCATTTTTGAGAAAATGTCTGCCAGAAACCAAAGTTTGAGTAACCAGTTTGCCTATTAGTCATTTTTTGCTAGTAAAAAATGATGTTCCTTGAAAAACGTATCTAACTCAGCTCACAGCTCAAACAATTGCACCAGGTGCTTTTTGAGAAAAACGTCACCATTTTTGGTACACATCTCCGGTGCTTTCTATGCTCTTCCCACTTTGCCCTGCGGAATTTGGAAAAGATGTTTACTCAGGGTTGAGATATGATGCAATATAAATCATAAACTTGAGAACTTTTCCTACTTCATCAAAGACATCCTTAAATGAAATTGCCTTCTATTAATCTTTTTCACCGAGAGTGTGCGGCACCCAGAACACGGTTCAGTGGCACAGCCCCGGTTCTGCCAGCGTGCCAGCATTTTACTTACCGCTTTTGGACCAGTGGTGCGGACGTCAGCGTGGTGACAAAGGTCAGTAACGTTGCTGTTACTGGGAACATGGTTTGGATCCCAGAGACCGCTTGCAAGGGTCTCCAGGATGGCGGCAGTTGGCCGGCCGCCCCCGAGAACCGCTGCTCAAGGGGCTGCCCTGGCCTGTGGCTTTCCCATAGAAAAGCACCCTGAAGACCAGCTCACGAGGCTGAGAAGGCACGTGCCGGGGTGAACCCAGAGCCCGAACAGCCTACAACGGCGATGGAACAGAACCAGAAAACGTGGAGCTTTCAAACATTTAACATGAAGAACAGAAACATTTTAAGAAAGAGCCCAACAGAACTTTTAGCAACCAAACTTGTGGTGGTTGAAGTTCAGAATTCCTTAGACACAGCAAAAGAGGGGATTAGTTAGTAGGATGAGAAGGTTCCTGGGGGGGCAGCACCGAGAGAAGGCGAGGTTCGGGCACGAGAGAAGGACAGCTGTTCAGGAATGGGAAAACGCCATGGGAGCCTCCGTGCATGCTGGTGGTGGCCGGAGCTTTCCAGCACCCAGGCAAGGCGCTGGCACTTAGGCTCACTGTACAAACAGGTCTCAAGAAAGAGGGA